GGCATGAACGGGCACCTGGGTAGAACCACCGACGTTCCGTAAGCTTGCTGCCACGACTTAGTAACTCGTGGCCACGACATAGTATCTCATGGCCACGACATAGTATCTCGTGGCTACGACTTAGCTATCTCGTGACCACGACTTAATAACTCTTGGCCACGACATAGTATCACGTGCGCACGAGATAAATAAAAGCTCACACATGTCACCTTTGTGCCACCGTAGAAAACATTCTGTTTAAAGCATTATTTCAAACGATGTTACAAAAAAGATTAAATTGTGTACATACAAAAATGAATGAAATGTATTATATGACAGAAACGCTATTCGAAAACAATCTATAGTTACCAATTCCATACCTAGCACAAAATGGGGACATGACCATATACTAAATCAAGTTTATTCATTAGTTAAGTTTATATGAGCTTCTATTCAAACGCTAATACACTTCAGATTTGGTAGAAATCATAGTAAATCAAGGTAAAGTATAACTTGCTTGAGTTATTAAATATAATTGTTTTGAGATATGGACTAAATGTAATTTTGTAACATGATAGTTAAATATTTGACTGCTTAACTTTATGCGATAAAATAGAATAATTGAGCCATTATACTAAATCAAGTAGACACATAAAATAAGTTTAAACGTTGAAAATGTACACGTTTGTTTGCCAAAATAACATGATTTTGTTTATGTAAATCACAATTCTCAAGGTCGGTTATATCGTAATCTGTAATTTTATAATCCATTGAATATAATTTCCGTTAAAATACTTATAAATCACGAATTTTATTAAAAGCTGTAATGAGATAGTTTTAAAATTTCTACAAGCAAAACATAATGTTGTTATAATACAGATCTTAAGAGATAAACAACGCCTGAAGATCAGCTTGATTGGCAATTAGTTTATTTACTCCATTATATGTACAGCAAAATTGTTTAACTGCATTGTTAATACAACATCATGAACCGTACAAACTGATCTATAAAATATATAGTTTACACAGACAAATTAAAAATACTGACACTGACAGTAAGAATGTAATATCTAAGGCTGACTATGGTTTAACAAGTGTTCAGAATACACTAAAGGTTGGTAGTTGTTGCGACTATATATGTGTTACTTTAATATCAAAAGTTAAACCTGCTTTCAAAATAATAAAGACAGATTGAAAAGACAACATGGTTATAGTAATTTGTACTTTAATCGTTTTCTTAATCAATTATCAAAAAGTTAAAATTCGTTAATTAATAAATAAACAATTGACGACTTAACATCAGTAATAGTAATCGGTACTAAGATCCTTTTACTTTATCAAAACAGATTTTTGTTTGTTTGAGATTTAAGATCAAATAAGATAAAAAAAATACGTAATGACACCATTTAACATTCCAAACTTTAACAATTGCTTGAATACAATTCGTTATATTATTTCAATCTTATTTGTACCATTAACCCCCTGATTTAAGTCCATATTGTGGTTAAGGCGTGTTTTAAAGGCCACTGTTCACTTTTCAAGTTTTAAAAATATTATCGTAAAAATAAATAGAGGAATTTTAACGAGTGTATAGTCAATACTGAATTTATTGAACGAGTTGAATAAAACTATATCATTATTTATATAACTTAATTCAACGATTTCAATAAATTTAGTAATGCACCTTCTCGAACATAATATTCTGTTTATCACACACTCTAAATAAAAACTGTTTAAAGTGAAATAGAAAATATCTTTTTAATTTTAAGTGCATTGAGTGTAACGCTAACATAAATGTTATGTTTGATTAACACAAATGACGTCATGTCACAATATATGCATGGCAGTGCAATACCATTTTTACGGAGTCGCAAAAAACGGCACAGCAGTAACTGTTGTCCTATCCAAAAGGCCTAACTTTGACCGACAAAGGTATGTAGTTTGAGTATGTGTGACGAAGAGTATTTAAATGGCAGACCTAAGCCTTACCACAGTATATATCTTATTTTATTTTGTTGAGTATGCGTTGAGAAGTAATTAGCGTTGTATAGTTATAGGTATTGCTCTGATCGCAGCAGTTGTTGTGTTTGGAGTAGAGAAAAAAATCAGAGCAGATTTTCAAGCCAGCTTTTATCTTACTCTCATTTCCGGTGCAGATGGATTATTAGCCTCACTACTTATGCTAATTTTAATTCGTGTCCCTGGTGAATATAACACGATTTGAGCATTGACTATGTTAAACGCCGAAACACTTCAGTTTTGGTAGAAAACATAGAAAATCAAGGTAATATTCTTATACAGGCTTATAGGCAGTTTCCTACTTTTTCCAAAATTGAATTCAAAAACTAGATGATAGAAAAATTACAGACCGTTTTGGGCTTGGTTAGGACACTATAAGTACATCATTCATAAATTAATTTCATATTGCTTCAATAGGTATGTGAGATATCATAAAGCAATGTGTTCACTTGGTATTTGCAGGTAATAACAATTTGGTCTAATCTATTTTGAATACACATATTGATATTTTTATGTTGGTAAACTAAGTGGATATATATAAATCATATTATTATAAAATACCCTTACTATAAATTTATGTTTTAAGATATCGCAAAGAAACTTTTAAAACAATCAATACAATCATCTAATATTATGTTGTTGAATATCTTCCATTTGACGCTTTTTTCTCAGTATAAAGCATGCTCAATTTTATTATAGTGTACAAATATATGAAAATTAGAATGTTTTAATAAGAGAATGATGTGCATTTGTGGTTACTAAATATATATATAAAACCTTTTATGATTTTGAAATATATGAAAATAAAACAATGAATTCATTAAGTTTAAACTTGGTATGAATTTCTAAACAAAACTTAGCCAAAATCAGTGATAGACATAATAAACAAACACAATTTCCAAACATAAGCAACGTGGCAATAAAAACTGTTTGAAATGTTAAAAAAATGGAGATCCACGGCGAGCAATGGAAAGAAGAAAACCAAATATCCGACAATTTCTTTCTTGGTGTTAGTATTTTTTATAATTCAATAAGTACTAAAAAAGCATCACCGTTTAAAATGTTGAAATAAATGATCACGAAGGATCAGAACAGTATTTCAACATGGAGATGACGAAGAAGGCAATATTTCCTGCTGCCAGACATCCCTTGACAATTGCTTTCGTAAGTCAAGCTGTTCAGGAACGCGCACCGTCAGCGAAATTGATGAAACGTCCCTTCGATATGAAACATTATCTTATATTGTGTGATTTAACTATATATGCATAGCTGGCGATGTGTCCTCAGTTTATATGTGTCTTGAAACTATCTATTTGCTCAGTACTCTTTCATCTGTATCATTTGTCAATGTTGTCGACTGTCAACTACAAGAAAGTCGCCTCAAAAGTATTGAATACGATATAATAAGTAATATAAGTATTGTATATTAATAATTAAATTTATCGACCTATAATGAATTAGGCAGTTACATTTATGATATTAAATGTCTATATAACTAAACTCTCTACATTTTGATATTGATTGTTTTTTGTTTAAATATATATATATATATATATATATACTCAGTGTATTTCATTCGCGCGGTTTGCACTAACTACCTTTGTCTTTGTACGAGTATACGATTGTATGCAGTTTGATATTTTAAACGAGCTATAAGTTTTTTTCTGCATTATTGACAGAATAATTGTTTATCAACTCTCTGAAATGTATAAACACGATTTGATAACAGAAAATCTGAAAACTGTTTATTGATGTTGAATTAATGGACAATGATGATTTTAAACACTGCTCTCTTTAGCTTTTCTTTAAATCATAGTAGCTTGCCATTTTATGAAAATTGGAAGACAAAACTTTTTAATTATTTCAAATTCGTTAACACTAAATTAAGTAAATTAAATTGATAAATATAGTCAATATCTAGGTAGAATGAAAAATATATGCTAGAATACTAAAGGAAAACGTAAAGAAAATAAGGGGCAAGTCTTTAAAAATATTTCATAATTATTAGGCAGAAACTACAAAGCAAAGCAATCATCATAATAATATGTTTACAATGGCATTAAAATCAATTTGAATTTGTATGTTAAATCTTTAGAAGTTGTAATTTTGTCACGTTTAGCATTGTTTATCTCAATATTGTATTGCCTAAACGTTTGAAATATAAGTCATTTATTTGGTGTCCTTCAATTCAAAAGTAAAAGCCATTGTCTATAAACATTAAACCAAGTGTATCCGTTTACAACGGACACATTGAACAAATGTAATCATACCTTCAACCGTTAAAGTGCTGGCTATACTTCATTTAAAACTATACTATCACAAGATCTATAAAGACTAAAGTTATGCGTACCTATTGTATTAGATTTCGAAATAGTAGTTTCGTTTCTTATTCCAATCAGTGATACACTGAAGCACTTTGAAAACGCAGTAGATATTAAAATAATGACACTTATGTGATAAGTTTAAATCCAGACAACCATATCTTCGGAAATCTATGTACCTCATATACAATAACTTTGACTGTTGTATTCAACTTCTGAAACAACGTTTGTGGTAGCTCATTGACTCGCCTTATTCGCGATGGACGTTCAAACGCTTCCTAACCGTAAACTAGAAGAAACCCTGTAAAAAGCAATGGCTCTGACATACGAGTTTGCGATTCATCTTTAGATTTTAAGTATATTATGTACCTTTGAGACTTCATGTTTGTACAAAGTCGCAAGAACAGTCAACACGTTATATTTTTTAATGTAATATTCTTGTCAAAACGATTTTTCGTGAATATGGTTTAAACTTTAAAGGAATTTGTTAACAAGACTTACGCAAAATATTTTAGCATGTAAAAAATTCCTAGTTATTTACTACGTTTGATATCTATACCAAATTAAGCGTCTAATGTTTGTTTTGTGTTAGAATACTTTTTATTTCAAAGAATGCGTTATTTAAGTGACTAAGTGTATATATTTGACAAGGTCAATATAAAAAACCTTAGTCGTCAAGGCTGTAAATAGATTTGTTCTCTGCCACAATTTACATTTTGTTTTGTATTTGAATGATATTGTTAATGATTTGTTCGGGTTTAGTGCTAAAATCAAATCAATTCTTTTAATTTGGATAACAAAAAATGTAGGTAATTCTATATTTCAAAATATTTAACATTTCAATTCTTAAATGTTCTAAATCAATAAAATAAAGCTGTTCGTTTATACTTTTAACACTATTTTATGTTACTATTTAGGTCAATAAGCAGAAAAATGTTCATTGTCAATCTGCTAATTTTACTATAGAGAAAGGGAGAGAGAGGGGTGAGAGGGAGGTATGGAGAGTATCGTATTGTTATCCTCGCATCGCTGGTTTAATCTCAGCGAGGCGTTATTTCTCCGTGATATTTGATTATTGGTCATTTTTCTCTCGTCGCAGATTAAGAAATTCAGTTGACTCCGGTGATTCACTTTGAGAGAAATCGGTTTAATATTATGAACGACTAAAATGCAGTTCAACGGTATTAAAACCATGACAAATTCTTGCAACACCGAATCTTTAGAATATCATCAAATAAGACGGTCGGCTTTGATTTTTTTCGCCCCAACATTGAAAAGTTCATATGGTGATTACCTGGTTGGAGAAGACCTTAACAGTCGTTACCTGCATTAATTAACGCGCACCTGAGAAGAACTAAACACATTCGTTCCCCGTAAGGTAACTGGATAGTTTCCTGACATGAACAAATCCGAGATGAGCATTGTACTTTTAATAGATTTTATAGATTTGATAATAATACGAATGTACAAATGTTTATAAAAGGCGGGTTGTACTGCATTTTACGAGATATACCTTCCATTCGGCTTGAATAACTGTTTCAATATTTTAGTAGGGGCGTATGTTATTAAACAATATAAAAATATAAATAAATCAGGAATGATAGCATGGCTTTTGTTCGGCTTCAAAGCAACCGTGTGTGATGTTGTTTCAGATAATTATTAGCACTTTTTTGTTAACTATTTGATATTACGTCTTTGTATTTAACATTCGCAACTACACTTTTTTTTATTATTATTTATTATTTTGTATTTTTCTTTCCAGTTGATTAGGAAAGAAGTTCTGGCTTCTAAACTTTAACAGTCTATTTTAGTATTTTGTTAATAAGGCATTAAAGGCACCAGACCGTTGCCAAAATCTTACTTAAATAGAAAGCGCTTGCACAAGTGAGCTCGCTAAAATTCACTTAAGAATAGTTCGTGTGTTTAAATCAATAAAAAAAACACACACCCATAATTATAAACCATTTAAATTGTATAGCATTCTCTTTTACCTATTTGTCTATTATACAGAATTTAACTTGACTTTTGTCTACCAAAACATTAAGAAACATTGAAAAAAGCTCGCGAACCGTTAACCAAATTCAATATTAAAGTAATCAATCACATAGTTTAATTCTTAGCCGTCTACGAATATATCACCAACTTAGGGGTCAATCTTGTGACGACGATGATGGGGGTGGCGGAGAAATGTCTGAAAATTTCAGATTTATGCTAACGTCCAAATTTAGGGTTTTATTGTTAATATTTTGATAATGAAGAGATTTCCGTTTAAACTTTATTTACTAAATCAGTGTTAAGGATGTACAATGTAGCAGTACGAGCGTGTCAAAAGTGTCTAAAAAGGTCATAACGGTCGGTTGGTGTAGCGCAAACGACTACTACTCATAAAATATATTCATGAATTAGCTATTATGGAATGACGATGACCTTCGTCCGTTTCAATAATTGTAAACAGCATCGCTACCTTAAAGCTACTATCCCACATGTAGTTTGGGTGTTTTTGAAACAAAAAAAATCATCAAAGTTGAATTTTTACCATAAACTCGTGTATTTATATCGAACAAGACGATTAATACATATGTTGTCAGAAGAAAAAAAAAACATAAAAGTAAAGTTTTTGCTGTGTTCATGATGCTGTTACTTTTGGCCGTTGCAACGTTTTATTTTGTAAATATGGACTTAAATTATACACGCACCGTTAACTGTTTTTAAGTAGATTCATTGTTTGCTGGTAGAACAGATGTGCACTTGGTATTTTTTTTATCCTGCAAGCAATTGATGCTCAATATAACATAGGAAAGTTTGTCGAGACAGGATAAAAGATGTACATACATGTATATTGATAATCCGGTTTAAAACTGACATTTATTTAGTAAATTCTTGCTGAATCAAGCTATCGTACTCGAAACATGTTCACTGAATTGGTAAAAGTGTTCTTTATATCTGTAATTAGTGAAATATAATAGCCGTTGGGTTACAGTTATCTCGTGAAAACTGCAAATTTACTTCTATGCATATTTAATAATTGTAAACAAATATGTTTTTAGACCCGTTTTGTGTCGGAGAGTAGCTTCAAGAACTGTGAATAGTTTGAAAAATTAGGTCAAGAATCTTCAAATACAATTAATACTTCTAGTAGTTACATTTACAGCAGTAGTAGCAAGAACATCAGTGGCAGTAATAGGGAAGGAAGACGTAGAATAGCAGAAGAAAGTAGTAGCAGTAATAAAAACAACAGTAGCAGAAGGACTAGCATAGCAGATGAATCATCAGTTAAAGAAAAAGCAGGATCAGTAGCCGTAGCAGTACTTGTAGTAGCAGTGACGTCGAAGTAGTAACAATAGCAGCCATAACAGCAGCAGCATTAGATGCAGCATTAACAACAGCAACAGTAGTATTAGAAGTAGTATTAGTAGAAGTAGTAGTAGTAGTGGTAACAGAAGCATTAGCAGTAGAAGTATCAGTAGCAGTATCAGCAGCAGCAGTGGCAGTAGTAGGAGCAGCAGTAGCAGAAATAGCAGTAGTAGTAGTAGTAGCAGCAGCAGTAGCAGTTGAAGTTGTATAAGTAGTAGTAGTAGTAGTAGTAGTAGTAGTAGTAGTGATAGTGGTAGTGGTAGTGGTAGTGGTAGCGGTAGCGGCGGCGGCAGCGGTAGCGGTAGTGGTAGTGGAAGTGGTGGTAGTAGTAGTAGTAGTAGTAGTAGTAGTTAGCAGTAGTAGAAGTGGAAGCAGTAGTAGAAGTAGTAGTAGTAGTAGTAGTAGTAGTAGTAGTAGTAGCAGTAGTAGTAGTAGTAGCAGTAGCAGTAGCAGTAGCAGTAGCAGTAGCAGTTAGTAGTAGTAGTAGTAGTAGTAGTAGTAGTAGTAGTAGTAGTAGTAGTAGTAGTAGTAGTAGTAGTAGTAGTAGTAGTAGCAGTAGCAGTAGCAGTAGCAGTAGCAGTAGCAGTAGCAGTAGCAGGAGCAGTAGCAGTAGCAGTAGCAGTAGCAGTAGCAGTAGCAGTAGCAGTAGCAGTAGCAGCAGCAGCAGCAGCAGCAGCAGCAGCAGCAGCAGCAGCAGCAGCAGCAGCAGCAGCAGCAGCAGCAGCAGCAGCAGTAGTAGTAGTAGAAGTAGTAGAAGTAGTAGTAGTAGTAGTAGTAGCAGAAGAAGTAGCAGAAGCAGTAGCAGTAGTAGCAGTAGCAGTAGCTGTAGAAGTAGTAGTAACAGTAGCAGAAGCAGTAGCAGTAGCAGCAGCAGTAGCAATAGTAGGAGCAGCAATAGTAGAAGCAGCAGCAGCAGAAGTTCAGGTAGTAGTAGTAGTAGAAGCAGCAATAGAAGTGGTGGTAGTAGTAGTGGTGGTAGTAGAAGTGTTGGTATTAGTGGTAGTAATAGTGGTGGGTGTAGTAGTGGTGATAGAAGTAGTGGTTGTAGTAGAAGCAGTTGTAGTAGTGGTAGTAGTAGTAGTGGTGGTAGAAGTGGTGGTAGTAGTGGAAGCAGTGGTGGTATTAGTAGTGATGGTAGTAGTAGTGGTGGTAGGAGTAGTAGTGGCAGTAGTGGTAGTAGCAGTAGTGTTAGTATAAGTAGTATATTTGCAGTTATGGCGTTGGCAGTATCCGAAATGTTCTAGTATTGGAGATTGAAAAACTTACAGTGGTTGAGGTGGATTTCTAGGTGTGGTGATTGAAATGGTGTTAGTGTCATGTTTACATATATAAAGGTCAGAATGCTTGTCATGTACATTTTTAGATTGTTGGAAATGGATCAAAAAGCTGATTTCTCTGATAAGCAGACAAACATGGACAACGGGTCAAAAAATGCATGCTCCCAAAGTATGGATGTTGTCACACAGGTACTAAAACGTTACAAATGTTTTACTTTCAAAGTAAAATTTCTTTCTGTAAGAGTTGTATTACCCTTCTACATCTTTCCCCTTTTAGATTGGATATGCCCCCGAAAGAGATTGATACGGCCATAGGCAGACAGGTATTATACACATTAAAGTTCCCCTTTGGGTACCCTATGTTGTAAACAATATGCACTGTGACGATGCGCGTAGGGTTCGATGTTGTAAATTCCAATATACAATCACTATTTGACTGTCAGTTAAAAATAAAATATTTACCAAAAAAAAACAACAGTAATGATAAATATTTTCTTATAAGTATTTAAAACAACTATGACCTTGTCTTTAATAGACAACACCTTTTCTCATGTTTGCATTCGTCATGTACGAAACAAGGTGACGTCATTTTGCGATGACGGACGAACAGTAAAGTGAATCTTATTTCGACATTTCATTTGCAACAGCAACAATTTATTTTAAAGTCCACCGTGGATAAGCAACTTTGGTCACGTGACCACAAAAGTCAACGAACACGGCCAAAAAAGCCCACTGAGGTAAGTTTTTAGTAATTATTTTTCTATCGAGTCGATTTAAATTATGCAATATAGCCTTTAGACCGCGGCATTTCCGATGCTTACTAAAATGCATTTGGCGTTCGGTAGGCTATGTAGCATAATTCAAATCAGCTTGATGGAAAAATAACCACTATGAACCTTATCTGAACTGAGCTATTTTGGCCGTGTACGTTGACTATTGTGGTCTCGTGACCAAAGTTGCTTACCCACGGTGAAATCGATTAACCCGGCATTGGAAGGGTAGTAAAACGATTGTGTGGGTTTAAGGATGATATGTGGATATATTTCCTTCCAAGATAAATTATCATCCTCGCTCAACGGCTCTGATATGAAATCTTGGCAGGTAATATATCCACATATCTCTCTCTAAAACACACATTTATATAATATAAAACGCATGGTAACGCTTTTTCAACGAATGAATGTATTTATTTTGTAAAAAAGTGGGACGAATATTGTAACTTAACAATTTTCAAAAATGACATTATTTTACTTTTACGAGGGCTGATTGATAAATTCGTGGAATTATCCTCTTAAAACCAAATTACTTTATTAAATTACATGAACACTCGAATAGAGGAAAGCAAAATGTTGGCCATAACATTTCCATATTGCCGAATATATAAAAAAAAAATTCCTACAAATCCACCTTGTCCATAGCAACCACTGTCCTGTTAATTGAAGCACGCTGTATTTTAAAGTATACATGCTATAGTATAAATGTCACTGCGGGAAGAAAATTAGAGCAATTTTTGGCGCTTACGCTTGTGTGACGTCTTGGCGTCATTTCCCCTAAATTTAAAGACGATGTGTTGAACGATTGTTTCGCAGCAGCGTTAATCTCAATGTCTACCAAACGGCGAATTACGTCAGCAGACGATATTGAATTACGCGCTGTCGTCAAGATTTGTGTAGGACTGAAACTTTAACCGGGCGAAACTCTTAAAAAGATAGAAAATTCGGAAACATTGCCTACTGGTGGAAAGACATTTGTGTATAAATGACATGGACGATTTAGAGAAGTAAGAACATCCGTGTATGATGACGAAAGAAATGGTCGGCCGACGTCTACAGTTACTGTTGGAAACACAGCCTTAGTGAAATAACTGCTGGACGTTGACAGGCGCCGTGCAACGCATTCTTCGAAAATCTCAACATGTCGGAAGTTGCCTCTCGCTAGGTACTAGGTTAAATTGTAGCAGACTATTTTCAACAAAATTACCCCCATTCTATATAATTATATATATTCTATATATATATTCTATATAAATATTTTTATTGGCACTTCATTGATAGGCATGGGCTCCTGCTACAACACAAGGTGCGAGAGGGATCAACCGTAAATGCGGTAAAAATATAACTGTTACTATTTTGTATAAATGCGTGTAGAGCTAGCCGGTTCTAGTATTTAATAAATATTGTTTATTTAATTTTAGAAAATGCATCTGAAAATATTGCCAGAATGCAGTTGTTATGCGTTATCAACTTTCAGGTGTTACGTCGGGACTTGTAACAAGCCTTGCACCGGAAGCGACCTCAGCTAGACCTGGCCGATGCCATTCTACACCATGATAATGCATCCGCACACCGGGCTCACGACACAGAACAGGAGATTAGCCTGCTCGGGAAACAGCCTACTGCCACACCAACCGTACTGCCACCGGACTTGGCTCCATTAGACTTCCGCCTGTTCCCCGATTTGAAGAAGGAACTGAGGGGTCAACGATTTGAAACATCATTATAGCTACGCACCAGGGCGCGCAAGATAATTTCGTCGTTCAGCTCAGAATGACTTTTGACCAATAGATACACAGGCATAAGAAATGTGTCGCCACCGGGGGTGATTTTGTTGAAAAGTGAACCGGACATTAGACTTTGACGTTAAGGTGACGCCAACGTGTGACAGCGTCGCATCAGCGTGCTTCACATGTAGGATAGTGAAGTGATGTTTTGATTTTGCGTGTAAACTTTATTGTCTCAATTATTTATTTGGCTTTTTGTCAGTCGGGAGTAAAGGTATCTCGTGGTATAATTTATTTGTTTTTCTTTTAATGTTTTAGAAATAGTACACTTCCGCGAATTAATCAATCAGGCCTCGTACATTATTCAGCATTCTCCTTACTTATTATCTATATGAATGTTAAACCTCTTATATTAAATAGCCCCCACACACGAACACAGAGATTCAAAGAAGTGAATATCATCAAGCACAAGCAGGTTGTACATTTGTTTCACAAACATATACCTTATAATTATTTCAGAACATATACTATTTCGTTTCATATTATTATGCTTTTCAATGTATTTTGCCATATTGTTTCATGCATTTTTGACTTTTTTAATTAAACATGTTTTTTGATTTTCACTTGTGTTTGATATTTATGTCATCATTAAACAAGAAGTAATTTTAAGACATTTCACAGATCAACATAATAAATTTGAAAGAACAGTAACTATTTGTATATTGATTTTGTTGACAATTTGATTTATACTTCTCAATAAACATGATAAAACTTTCTCCTAATTTTATTTTTTTGCTAAATTGATCACACAATTGTGTAGTTGTGATATCACAAATCTACAAATCTGTGAGAACATTTAAAATATTATGCCAATAGAAAATCATGTAAAAATCAAGTTTTGTAATGTTCATATTGAAATTTTCATTTAAATATATTTTTAGAAACAGCTTCAACGGTGGTTGATGAGACATTTCGAAGGTTATCACTAAAAGAGATGGACCCGTTGGATCAGAAGTACCTACTTATGATACTGTTTTGTAAATTGTTTTTGCTTGATTTTCACATTATATGACAGGACGATAAAGGAAGACAATTTTTAAAACTTAAGTATGTAAAGGTTTATAATGAGGTATTTTTATGCAAATAAGAAGATTTGAGAGGTTCTACCAAGTTGGAGTATGTCCTTTGTTGCTGTGTTTGTGCTTCCTTAATTTACCTAAAAACTGATATTTTGCAACTTATATTAACAAGAACGTGTTTTAAACACAAATGCTCCCGGCTCAGATACGTGTCAGTAATATGTTTTCAGAAAAAGTTTAACCATTTACTCAGTTATGAACAGAAAAATTGACCAAAAATCGTAAATACAATTATTTAATTTGACAGATTTGTTATTGTGAAGAACAAAAAAAAAATTGCATGTAAAGATAAAGATAAAAGTATTCAACTAATCAATAACACGTTATAAATAAAAGACCTTGACAATGAGCCATGTGATCCCAACTCCATCAAAGCTTTAATGACCACCTAAGGTATGTTACGTGTAAAAACATCAATTTATAAAAAGTCTGTATAAGCAAATGTGCAAAATTCTTTTTTATTTAGCACACCCGATCTTTACACTCAATCTCAAGGGTGATTGATGACCACGGAAAATATCTTCCCGCCAAAATATGGCAGACATCTGTCCATAAATAAAAATGTATGGGCATTTAAAAAAAAAATCTATTTCAGTACTTGTAAACTTGATCCAACTGACCGCTAACTCCAGTCAAAGGAAGAATACCATGCAAGTTATCATCCTTTTAAAAATAAAAACATCAGGCGCAACCTAAAGGCTGTCTTAGCAAATGTGAATAAATTTGATAATTGATCCATTGACCTTGACCAACTGACCTCTTACTAAAACAAAAGAAAGAATTCTATAAAGTTATCTTCTGACCAAATATGAAAGATGTCTGTTAACAAATAAAGTCTGTAATAGCAAAAATGTTAAAATCTATTTAAGCACTGACATTGACCCAATTGACCCCAAACTATTACAAGGAAGAAGATTTCTTAATTTTATGTTCCTACAAAATATTAAAAATTAAACGTCAGTAAATAGTAAAAGGTTACACTGGTAAAAGTGTAAAAGTATTTTTCTGGCATTAGTGTCACTGACCTAAAAGATCCCTCACTGAACCCTAATAAGAGGACGTCCATAGTCATGTCTGTATTTAACACGAACAACATAAATTTACAAATGAAAGTTGTGTGAGTAATAATGTGTATTTTGTATAATAATGACATTGACCTTGACCGCAGCGACTCATGACTCCACAAACATTAGAGGGATATTGAAACCAAATGTGGAAGATATCATTAAATACATGATGTAATTAGGAGGGATTTAAGATTCATTGAACTTGCGAGCATAGGTTAAACATACAAGACCCTATTTTCAAAGTGATTTAAAGGGAAATAACTAGGGAAATGGAAATCACAGTTATAACACTTGGCACTATCACGTACTTTGTATTAATAAGTAAGTGTGGAAATTATGAAGCCCTTCGTGTAGAAAATTTTTAATATATATGCAACTTGCCGGTTAAGGTTAACCAAATCCATTATCAAAGTGCTGAAAAGGGCAATACTTTTGACAAAATTGAAGCAATAGTTTTGTAAATCGCATAGATCATGTACTTTGTTTGAATATAATAAAGCAATTTATACAAGTAGCGCGTAAGAAAGATCTAAAGTGTAGAAAATTTTAACCACGTACGTATGGACTGAGAGACGGACGGACAAACGGTTGAATAACTATGGCCGGGGCATATATAGTTGAACCTGTATGTCTTGTTGTTTCGTTGCAATGTTAGTTTTTTGTTTCTTCATATCAACTCCGTTATTAAACAACAAATAACACGAACCAATTGTGAAACTGTAAAAATCACGACATATCATCTTTTTTTGAATCTATCCGTTTTGCCAATATTGAAATTGTATTTATTCAATCAATATTTGTACTCGTGTACTACCTTTTTACAATTAATTTAAGTATTCTGTATGGAAGTAACATTTTGCTATCATTCTTAATAACGTCATTTAACAATGGGTGCTTAGTCAAATATTCTCTTAAGTAATTATCTTAACGTTAATGAAATCTTGAAAAAAGTGATCTATCGGAAGGTATAAAAACAACAACATTATACGAAAATTGCAGGCCTCATGATTGACCCCTTTTAAAGATTATAGTTTTTTGTGTCTGAGGCACAATATGCTTTTGAAACACTGAATAGAATTACAAAAGAAAGCAAAACAAAAACAACAACAACAAAAACACCCTCTGCGTGGTGACTTACTTTCATTCATTTTACATTAAATGAAAACAGGAATGTATGACGTTTCAAAATTTCTGCGATTGTTGTGAAAATATAAGAATCAATAATTTCTATATCTTATTTATGGCAGCCTATTGATATATGCGTCAAACTTTACTATCGATTTAATAAAACATTATGCTTATGACAGATGACATAAAAGATATTCATTTGAAAAAAAATATTGAAGAAGATGCTAGCAGATTTTGAATTTCTTATAGATTGTCTTAAAAATATATAAAACAATTTTATATTTATAAAAGAACGAAATTCTAACAAATTAAATTATTATTGAGCACGTATAGTTTATGTTGTAATGATCAAACAAAGAAAAGTATTATAAAAACAATATATTTATTTATCAAATGCAGCATGCCTTGCAAACGTCATTAACAGTACCAAAAACTGGTAAAAAATGCAAAATTAAGCTCAAACTGCTTTAGTCACCCAGCAGAAATATGATGACAAATACTGCAAAAACAGTCATTAATCACACAAAACATGTAAAACATTATTTGAATCTTGAATTGTTTTACTTTTCATTAAATCTTAATACTTTTTGTAACAAGTTTGGTCTTCTTATGATTCATCTGCTGGTATGAAGCTTTAAGTCAGCATTTGATGTTGGACAAATCGCCAATAGAAAATGATGAACAAAGCCTTACTATTCCTGTAACAAGGCTATCAAACCATAATGAACGTGTTTTAGCGTTTTGTTATTATTATTGTTTTGTATTATTATTAAAATGCTTACATGAAATTGTTTCAATCAATAGATAAAAGACAACAACAACAAAACAAAAAATCTAAACCCAAGTGTATCAATTTAAACCAACATCGACAGAGTCTCGTCAGTAAACAGTAACCCTTGCGCTTAATATTCCGGTTTGTACATGTAACCGGTGTAAGATCCTTATATAAGATCTCTCTCTCTCTCTCTCTCTCTCTCTCTCTCTCTCTCTCTCTCTCTCTCTCTCTATATATATATATATATATATATATATATATATATATATATATATATATATATATATATATATATATATATATAAAGTAAAGACACATTTAGAATATTACCAGATGTTTGTCATTTCTTTTCCCGATGATTTTAATCTTGCTTTCAAATGTTTTTTTCTCTTTATTTAGTAACTTCGTTCTATGCAAGGTGACGTTCAGATAATATATGTATTGGCGTTTTGTTGCTATGTTCAAAATTGTGATTTTTATTAGCATCGCTATCCATTAGTTCCCTTTGCTCTTATATTTCCAAAAGCATTTATTATAAACACAATGTGAAATTACGGTCAAATTTCATACTTCAAGAACAAGAATAAAAACTTAATTTGCTGAAATATTTAAAGAAAGTTGTAACAGTTATTATATTTGCAGCAGGTGGTCGCCAAAAGATTTGACAATATTCCAACATCCAATGTGGTTGATCAGTTCCAAAATTGAGAAAAACGAAGCAGGTAAAGAAACCAAGACACTCCTTAAGATCGAAGAAGAAGTATTTGATCAAATATCAAAGATAGATTGGCCAATAGTTGTTGTAGCCGTTGCAGGTTTGTCCAAAACTGGAAAATCGTATCTAATGAATCGTCTGGCTAAGTCGAGCAAAGGTATGTCTGTGTAATGTTATCGATATCAAATAAGTTAAAGAATTCACTGATCTTATTTCATTAATACTACAAATTAAAGTGACATAATGCTCATATTTTCATAGTCAAGTTGAGCTGAATTGACTTTATATTTCAAAAGAATGACTGTGAAAATGGTCTTTGACCAACAGTTGATATTTGAAAATGTTTAGGATAGAAATATAATTCTCCCTAAAAACTGCCCCACTCTTTTTAATAAACTAAGAATTAGGTAAATTCTACTGGATCTTTACAGAAATTGCATTAAGATCTGTGCGCTATTTATTGTTTATGTGAACTTAAATATTAAATTGAAAGGATTTATGGCAAAATGAAAACTTATTTTGATCTTCACCTGTTCACTCAATTTATACCTCTGGATGGACATAATGTCACTTTAATCAAAATGACATTTTGATAGATGTAAAGTTATATATTAGGCACTTTGCTCCTAACCGTTAAGCCCAACAAAGAAATGGAAGTTAAAGTTCTTTTTTGATAATAATGATTAAGGTTTTGAAGTGGGAGATACGATTGAAAGAACAACCAAGGGCATTTGGGCATGGTGTAAAATACATCCCACTCAGTCGAACACTGTTCTGTTGCTTCTTGATACCGAAGGACTTGGCGATAATGATAAGGTATGAACAGTTTATTTTAACCATTTGAAGTATTGACAAAACAATTGGTAAACACTATCTATCATACTGTACAAACTAATTTAGTTACGTTCCAAGCTGATAACAGACCTAACAAAGAAATTAAATGTAATTTTAAAGACATTTATTGATAATCTTATTTGACAGGGTGACCCAAGTCATGACAACAAGATTTTTACCCTAGCGACACTTCTTTGCAACTGTTTAGTTTACAACATGAAGGGAACGTTTGATTACGACACCGTCTCCAAACTCACGTATCCTTTCATTTTGAAGTAACATGAATCTTACATTGTTTCTGAGTTGAAGCTTTAGCTTTCACTAATCAAATTGAAATTTCAAACAATAAAAACATTAGGTATATATTGATAATTCATGATTAGGTTTTATATAATGAAATACGAATTGAGAGAACTATAAAAATTCACAAAACAACTAAATTCAATTATTATTTATATTACATCAGAATGTGTTTTGCAGCCCTCTGTTGGCATATTATTATGTCATTTTTCTTAGGATATTTGTGTGGCTAGCAAATAAATGCAGGCTTAAACGTGAACTGATATTACATCATTCTGATATTCTTATCAAAGAAATCGATATAACATTGCTAGACTTCTTTTCTCCTAATCTTCAAATGATATGAAAAAATATATAAATAAATAAATAAATTATATTTATTGTAAAGATTTTTATTATTTTTTTTCCGTTTAAGAGTATCCTTCAAATAATTCTACTCATATAGTAATGTACTCCTCATATAGTAATGTACTATCTTAACTGAAGAACTATAGATTTGTAACAGAAATGGCAAGTAATATTAGATTTCGGGGACTATCGTCTAAGGATAACCAGTCAATCAATTTAATACTTCCTGACTTCGTTCTCTGTTTGAGAGATTTCACTCTCAAATTGATGAAAGATGGGAAAAAGATATCAGAAAACGAGTATCTTGAGCAAAGTTTAGCGGAGGACGAAAACAAAACAGAACAGTTCAACAAACCAAGAGCATGCATCAGAAACAACTTCCCGAGACGCGAATGCTTTGCTTTCCCATTTCCATGTAATATTGATGATCTTGAGAAACTTGAAACTTTGAGCTTGAATGATTTATCTGCCAGGTTCCAGGAAGTAACAACTCGGTTTACATCCTATATATACACAATACCACCGAAGGAGTTGCTAGGCAGTAAACCATTAAATGGACAAAGTAAGTTGTCAATTACCACAAATATTGATGGTATGTAATTTTATCTTGACATACATACTATTTAATTATTTTTTTCGGTGAACATTAAATGCTTTAATGAGGTAAAAATTCATTTTACTTATTCTCATTATTACCCCAAAATCGACTACGACTTAACTTGACTATCGGCCTTCTGAACTTGTTCACAAATTGTCATCAAAACAAACTGTGTTATTTAACGTAACACCTTAACCTTGAGTTTTATGTTGAAAGCATAAATATTGCCAATAACACTTCGTATCAAAATAGAACACATTTAATATGAAACCTAAATGAGTGATGGGACTTTGACTGGGCATGGAGACATGAAACACTTTAGTAAAAAAAATTGCCCAAGCCAACGTTTTTTAAAAAAATTAGCATAAGTAAAAAATGTTGATGTTTTTTTTGTTGTTTTTTTTTCAGTAAAGGGGGAGGAGGGGGGGGCTCTTTCTTTAAAAGATTTTCTTGATTAATTCTTACGGTTGATACGAACCTAGTATTTTACTCAAATATCATTATTATTTTATACCTTCAGGGAGTCATTTATTTGCAATACATCATAATCACCCCTTACCTCTAAAGTTTTTTATCCTTTTAAATTCATCACTTACCTATACTTTTTATTTTTTATAGTGTTCATAACATTAGCTGACCACTACGTTACAGCTATAAAACACGGCGCTGTACCAGATGTTGATGACGCATTCGAAGCTGTAGCGAAAATGGAAAATACTAAAATTGCAAAAAAGGCTCTTAAAATCTTTGAAACTGAAATGGAAAAAGAAAAATTGCCAGTCTCTGAAGGTAACTTGTGGAAACGTTACACAAGGGCACAGGGAAAATCGCTTCATTACCTTCGGCAGAATGCTTTTCATGATTTTAAAGCAAAATGTGAAATTCAAGCTCAGGTAAGAGACTATCAATAAGGTTAATGAACAGAAATATTACAAAGTACAAAATACATCTTCTAGAATGCATATAACTTATATGCACATGCATGAAAATAATCTTACAAAAACAAGGATATCATATTTTACATATACAATGAGTGGAAAGGGATGCCTGAGTTTTCATCCAAAGTCTAGTCTATTTGCCAATTATTAATTAAAGCTTTTGGTCCCTCATTGTCTTGGTTCATGCAGCGTATTTAAGAATATTAAAGTAATATGTTTGTTCCATTTTAGTATTTTAATCACAATAATATAACAAATGATGACAAATACTTTCCTTGTATCACATCCATGACCTTGCCATTTATTGACGGATTTTAAGATCAATTTTGATACAGAAATGTGTCGGTGTGCGCGTGCAACACCGATATATAAAGACACTTCGAATTCAGAGACACATTTTTCCTATTTAAAGTATATTGATGTTTGTGTCCGATCAACAGTTCTGTCAATAATGGGTGGACGTGAAGATGGCTATGTATACATTTATTTGACTTGAAACATTTGTCAACAACTTAAAGGTCATTGCCATACATGCACATCCATAAATATGAAAGTGTTTAATTTTCATATTCAATCAAGCATTATGTCACTCATTGAGGGGTGCATATAAAATTTGATACATTTTTAGACGATGTGTTACTGGCTGGCAATAATTTAGTCTTCAGCACACCGTTCGAGGTTACGGTATTACGTCAAAGGACAATTAAGAAAAGAAAGTTTAGATGACATAATGCGAACAAGTTAATAAGCCCAATTGTCAAGATCAACCTTGAAAGTCAAAATTCACAAAATGAAAGTACATTGATAGTAATATTTAGTGCAATCATGATATGTAACATTATAATAGTCAGATTATGCCTCAGACAAGGCCAATCTTTAGTGTTTCAGAAAGAGCAACGTATGGTTTGCTGACGTGTAGATAATGGATTTAGAAAGTGTAAAATGCTTACCACCTGTAGAAATTTGTAATAAAAGAGTACACCGTAAACATATTTATATTCAATATAATATATAAAATTTCATTAATGTAAGTTGAGCTATTGCCAAAAAAAAAATAAAGCAACAGAAGCACAGGTCAATGGTCAGTGGGTAACACTTTGGAAACTACAGAATAACACAGAAGAAATAGATACAGATTCGAGAAAAATATAAAAGCATTTCTGGGATATAATGGTCATTCAGAATAGCTAATGCCAAATATGAACAAGTTTGTAGTTTTTTTAAAACTAAATCTAAGGCTTATAAGGCACAATTATACCAAAGTACATTAATGGTCTTCGTCCCGTTTTTCATGGATGAATCTAATAAACTAAGCATAGATTATGTGGCTCATTTTTGGCGAAGTCAAAATAGAACATTGATGCTTGACTGCTGATATCTTTATCGTTAGCTGATGTACGCTTCTTGAGATACAATGAAAATATCAGAACATGTTTGATATTGTTTCTTCAATTATGTACCAAGCAAAGGTCATGTTCTATTTACTGGGCCCAGCTAAAAATATTCAGAAAATAATTATTATTTTAACATCAATCAATTACAAGTATAAAATCATTATTTGAGTTTGTGACCGCATTAATATCATTCGGCTGTCATCGCTGTGGATTCGAATTCATGATCTTAGACTTTGGATTTTTTCATGTGAAAAATATATGGATGGTCCGTGATTTTTTCTCAGTTGCCTGTTTATGTCTAAATTGATATATAAAGGGTCTACCGACGTCAAACTTTTAGAGTACAGTGGATTGCAACTAATGTCCAACTAAAACTAAAAGAAAAATATATATTTTTACAGAGGAAAATGGATACAACTTGGAACAAGATAAAAACAATTAATGAGCAAAAAATTCAAGAAGAATGCGAGAAAACACTGAAAAACGTGTTTGAGAAATATCTTGTACATAATCTAAAAAATCGAGAGTATGAAACAGCAGGTGGTCATCGGAGATACAAGCGTGATGTTGAAAGAGCCAAGGGTGAATATGTCAGTGTTCTCAGAGAATTCAAGCAGACCGAGGTTTACGAAAATTTTGACATTGTTTTTCTATTTCTTTTTACCTTTATTTTTTTAGTCGATTTACTGAACAGGTTACTGCTAAATGAATTCAGAAATTTCTTTTTTACTTTTAACGGCTAAATGAATAATACTTTTATATTTAGAAAACACATTTTCTCTTTTCAAAAATAATATCAGTTTACCTGATTCGCAAATATCACAAATGTGCCCATTTCTGATACATGTAGTATGATGGTTGTCGTGTATTGCTTTCCATGAAATATTTAACACAAAAGAGACTAAACGTGAACTTTATGATAAGTCCCTTAGAAAAAATATTGCTTCCATCTGATTTTTGAAGTAATAACAGCTGACTGAAATTGAAATATTTAAATAGCCTCTTTTCAGAAGCTATAATGACCAGATATTTGACTCGAACCATTAAGTATTGCTTAAAGAGTCAAGATTCATCATGTTAAATTAACTCATATTGGACATATTTGATTTCAATCTTCAAGTATATAAATGTCTATAGCATTATCTAGTTTGTCTCGTCACATTCATGTGCAATATACAAGAGCCTAAAATGGCCTCGCTCCGGTGACATCTTTTTCTTTTGATTTTGAAGATTTACTATTAAATATTTCGTACAGAAACAGCAATGCATAAACCTTATTAGTATGCCATGTATAATAACTGTGTTGCGAATTAAACCTTTCAAACGATCTCTTAGTTTATTTAGACTTATATATGCAACCACACTTGACTCTTCACGACTTGTGTAACAAAGATGTTTCGCTTATCATACAGCATTGCATTGGAAAGATTCTAAAATTATGTCAGTTGTGGTCCTATTTTAAAGCGCTTTATCTAAAAAATAATGATTTAAATATTATCATGGCATTTTCTGGCAATAAATGTCATATGAGCGGTCTTGTGACATTAGAGCTGTCTTGTTGTATTGTGCTACTTTAAAAGTAATCGTCTGATAAAATTTGAGCATTTATCTAGGCAACTTTTTAAAGAAATTTTTAAGTATTCTTTCGGTAAAAATATTACTCACTCTTTCATAGATTTTCTCTACATGGTATGGGTTTGTTGAAAAAATGACTGTTACCGAAGCAAAGATAATTGAAGCTGATGAAAATATGAAGCAGAAGGAGAAAGAAGGTATGTATAATTGGTTCTGATAGCAATAGTAAAACACTTTTAAAACTATCAATTGTAAGAAAAGCTTGATTAACGGTTAAATACTCAAATGTGAAAATGATGCTGATTCACTAAAGCGACAAACTGTCTATACTAATTATCCCTCCGTTTCATTTTCCATTTCATCAAGGAATATCACGTGATCAATAATTAGGGATATCAAAACCCATTAGCTATGATAATAAACAATAGTAATCTATAACGCTCATAGTTTACTTTAAAAATAGTCTTAGACTACATTCTTAAAGAATTATAACAAAAGGTACAAAGATAAACATATTTTAAAAAATGAATGTAAGCTCTTTATAAGTTATTTACCAAATATGAGTGAACTCGAAAGCTTCTATAAGCAGAACTCATGGTCTTACATTCACGATAATAAGTTGTAGTTGTTTTTTAAGCCGAGCAAAGGCGAAACCAAGAAAACCTCGCAGTATTAGTACAGCAACAACAAAAAGCTCAAGAAGACGCGGAAAAAAAACAGAAAAAAGATTTAGCAGATCATTATGAAGAGCAAGAAAAAGATCGTCGTAAACTGCAAGAAGCACAGAAAAAAACGTATGAAGCATTGGTGAGAGAAAGGTTGGGAAGAGAAGCAGCAGAAAAGGAAGTTGAACGCTACAAACTTGCACAAGAAGCTGCAGTAACAGAAGTTGAACGCTTTAGGACGGAACAAGAATACGCTCGCGGTGAGGCTGCGCGTTTAAGAAAACAAGAAGAAGACAGAAAACAAAAGTGGATCGGTACAAGAGTATGGGATGCGATCTGGAATGAATAAGCCATAAATATTTTGCTTTCGTGGACAAACTGAGAATAATTTCAACAAAGTAGTTATGTGTTTTATGTAGGAAAAAATGTAATATCCATTGAATATAACTTGACTTTGCACTGTGTCATAATAACATAGAGACTTCATTGAATCGTGTTTATATTTGATTGTAAAACGAATTAATACTTTGAAATCACAGATAAATATACATTACATCTTACATTATATTCAATATATGTTTTGACGTTATGAGTTCCTTTCTGTACAAATGGAAAGTAGATTTTCGAAATCAAATCATATTTTTCAATATTTTAAATTCTTACTGCAGGTCGTTTTAAACTTTAAAAAATTATGTAGAAATGATTCATAATTCAAGGATGATAATACATTTTCTTTAATGATATGATGTTTCTTTGGATAATGATTTTCTAAAAAACTATTTTGTTTTTAAACTGATCGATAATCAATGGCAAATTTCTGGACTGTTTTCTTTTGACTGTTTAAATATTCAGAGATATATTTCGTAAATTACAATATATACATAGATATTGTGAAATTTGTTCAAAGAATCATGATAAATTCAACATACACTAAATACATATTCCTCATTGTTAAGACTATATAAGAATAAAATTTCCATGATAAGTCACCGTCTTAAGTTATATGTTCTTATATCGGACATAAAAAAGTTGAACCCAGGTTGGTGCACATTTTACCCGAGTGTTAACTTAAAGATATATTTAAATATATTAGATATATATGTTTTGTGGAAATTCACGAAGCAAAATCACATGCCAAGTACGTCAGCTCTGGGCATCATAGTTACACGATAAGACGTAAATGAATTTTCCTTTACTACACGTATGATACACTTGGGGTTATCTAGGCATTTTATGGATGTTTTAAATATCTCTTGAACGACAACGTGTATTGAAATAAAATTTTATCAGCATACTTTGTAGGCAATAATCACACATTTTGAAAGGAACAGTTTATTGCGACAATAATGCTTTTAAGGAAGCACATACACGGCATCTGACACATGGTAGACAAGCGCAGTAATACGGTTTTGTGTGTGCTAATTTTGAACTAATAAATAACATAGGAAACCCGCTTAACATCGCATGTTTCTTCCATGACGTCATTGTAGTGATTTTTTTAATTGTGGACGTCATATTCGTTATTTTTTGTTGATATCACTAGAAACTCTAGAAGCCGATATTGTTTACAATGGGAAAACGACGGACAAGCAGAAATTAGAAAATCGCGCGATTATAAAGTTTTGTTGTAATTTGGGAATGACGCCTACTAAAACGAAACAAAAATCAGCATGCGGACAGAGAAAATAAAATTTCACGATCATTATTGCTTAAAATGACATAAAAGATTTAGTGGTGGACGATATACAATTATCAACGCGTATGAGTGACGACGTCAAAACGTGCCTTGATACAGATGGCGTCTAACCATATAATGAATTATGGAGGCGACCGATTGCAGTAATGGAACATAGTGGCGCATTGTAAAACAATAAGATAATAAATAATAACAACATTTTTGTTCACATTTAATTGGTAGTTGTATTTTTTACGCTTATTACGGGTCAAGGGACATCTGCGTGGTCGCCGGTTTCAGTCAAATTGCCTATCTACTGAACGCTTCACAGCGTAGTATATTTCCGATAGATGAGGCATGATTTTCGATGTGTACCAGCGTTGGATTCATGAACGATGTGTGCAGGCCGGAGGACATTACTTTGAGAAGCAGTAACAATTATTGACTGCGTTACGGTGAGGTACAAGTTGTACGTTATTATGACGTTGACGTCAATACATATTTGGAGTGCACTGCTGTCGCCGACAGGTGTTTATGCAAGCTTTATTATTGTAGTAATATAAGAAGCTATTAACATGAATTGTTTTGTGTTTTTCTTTATACTATTTATTCTTCTAAGCAGTGTAAGAATTTCAAAACAATATCCCAAATATATTTTACGCAACAAAGAAAATCCACGAATTTTTGGATAATCCCTCGTATAGCTCAAATGACCCAAAAGGCGTAAATGTCAGTTTTGTGAACGTTCATAAGGCAATGCTACATACCAAAGAACTAAGCTTTGGACAAAAATGTTTCACACATAATGATGTATATGTATTTTCCTATATAAACGTTTATAACAAGTTTATATCAAGTGACCACAGTGGCGGACAAAACTGGCTCAAGAAGAATACTTACAAGAAGTGCTGTAGTTATGCAAATGGGCCTTCAACATGACATATATCTAAATTCGGGGTGATTTAGTTTCACACAATTAGACTGAAACATATGTTCTATTTTAACCAAATGACCCCTTTGATGGGCCAAACATCGACAAAAAGTTCATACATTTTGTTGAAATCTTAATGACTATGTTTCATGCCAAATATTGAAACCTTGGGCATGATAGTTTTACACAAAATGTGTTTGTAAAAATAAGTCTTTTCTACTCAAGTACACTAAGGGCGTAAGAAATATCAATTTTATAGAGGTCCACAAGGAAATGTAATACTATAGTGATTAATACCTTAACAGTGCGTATTTAGATTCACACATTAGGACTTCGTTCTCTTTCTTGACAAGTGTATGTAAAAAAATATACCCAGAGCGGCGTAATTATCGACCAGAGGGGCATGACATCATCACTTATGTAGAGATTAAGTGTAATGCTACACTTAGGCATCGTAGTTTTACACTATAAAACTTAATTATGTGTTTTAAGTTTCAAAATTGAATTATGCGTAAACCGTTGCTAAGGGTCGCTTTCCAGTACCATCCATGAACATGCTAAATTAATCCGAGGCTATAGCATTTTAACTTTTGTCGTTTGGAACGTTTTTAAGGGATTCCGTTTTCACTATTTTCCTCTTTAAGTTTATATTAATCTGGTGACACCAAGGCGGGGAAAAGTTTGATCCGAGGAAGTTCAAACAATCTAGGTTCTCAGAATCGATTCAAAAGATACAGAGCGGACACGAAATTTAGAAATTTAAGCACATTCAACATTTCTGTCCAATATTTTCAATTAACTTTTGTCGACTTAAACGGACACGAACTAGTTCATAGAAGGAAGGAGGAACGACAAGGTCCGTGCCACTATACGCTCAAATATTATAGGGCCTAACGAAACAAATGGGGAAAAAAGTAACTTTTTAGTAGCTTTATTTCAATATCTGCAGACAAATGAATTTTAAGCAAAAGTAAGTATAAACAATCACATATTGTCTTCAAATATTTAAATCCTTGTCTTTAGCGTAGTTTTTCAAATATGTCGACGTGTATCAAATTCAATCTTCAGGGTAGTCGATTATTAAAAAAAAGCAAATCACGTTACAAAAACAAGGTCAAATATAGTAAGGGCAGCATTGCTAAAATTTCCGTCATGATAAACACATACTGTGCAAGTGTTCTGACGAAACGTTTCTTACAAAAAAGAGTAATAGCGTTAACAAGAGCACGACAGCTAAACACAGTTGCCTCCCTTGTAAAAATAGGACTTCTTAAAAATATACCATAAAAACCTATTTGGATACACTTCTTTCATATATATGTAGTCCATATTCTAGGGATATAGAAATATGCTGTACGTATAATATACAAATATAGACATCTTGCATATACCAATGCTGAATTACTTGGCATCTTTTTTGTACAATAAATTATTTATTGTGTTTCTATTATCAGCATTAACGCGAATTTTCTAAACCTTATTGAGAAATGTAACACTTTACTAGTTAACACATATTTATTTATTTATTCTTCAAACTACTCAAAATTCATAAAGCATTTTCTTTTACCAATCGCATGAAAACTTTGTAAACAAGTCAAGTCTTGATAATTACATCAACTGTATCTTTTAAATTAAATACTACAAAGTGCATAAGTACTTATTGTATGCCTTATAAGGACATAGTAATTCTAAAAATGAATTCTGCACAGTCTTTTTTCCATTCCAGCTATACAATCTAAAGTAAAACTTGTCAGCATTGTTTGCATTCTACTACATAGCTTGTCATTTGTTTTCGAAAATTCCAATCAAGAAAACATTATGTTTCATATACATTTCTTCTAGGATTTATGTAATGATTAAGTTATTGTATGTAAGTATATAGTATCGGTATACATGTAGTTTTATGAATTTGTTTACTACATATATACTTGTTTATATCAAGACTAGATCATGTATGAGGATGGTTTTGAATCAAAACAGTTATTGGATAATAGAGAAAATGAAGAATATAATTACTGCTGGCCTCTTGGGATTCAAATAGCAAAATTCAGAGCAAATAAAAAAACTATTGAAATGATTTGAAAATGTTAGTAAAACAAAAATACTAGACATGGAAAAGCATAAGCATTGAATGTATTTGAACATAACAGAAAAGACATAGACATTTGTCAGACATTTCAGACAACGAAACCACAGACACATATTGTCAATGCCAAAGCAGAGTTTAGACAAGACATTGTCATTTTTGTAGAAGACAAACAATCATGGAACAGAGTATTGCCCTTAGACTTTTTTTGGACTTGGTATCGCTCTTGAATCTGAGATAAAAATTATAATATAATGAGGTTATTTGTAGATACGAATACAGTTGTAGTATGAAATATCTATCAAGACAAGGCTTCATAAAATACGAGCTGAACTTTTTGTCGCTACTGTCGTCCGAAATTTCAAAAAGTAATGTTGAATTTACTTCAAAAATTGGGATAACTTTCTTTGAATGCAACTACCTTATTTTTATTTGACAAGGTGTTATTTGTTTTTCTGTTTTTAATAATATATAATTTTCTTCATGTTTGGCATAATACGTACTTAAAGACGATCATTATTTATTATGGCAATAATTATGGTTAGTTTTCTCGACAAAAAATTCATCTTGTTATTGAAAAGGAACGAACATAAAGGGTTTATGCATGGAGATGCTAAAAATATATGTTTGCTGTACAGTTACATTTTTAAACTTAATAATCTTAACTTTAAATTCCTTCATGTTTCAAGTGATCATTTAAATCAGATAAAGGTCCAAATAAACTATTGTGTAGAATTTTGACGTCCACATGTTACATATTGTTTCATGGTTTTATTGTCTCAATTATCACGTTTTGTAAATGAACAATTGTCATGTATCAAAATATTAAGTTTTTCATATCTTTTCTAAATACTTCAATGCTTATAAGTATAAAGTAGAACTGCCACTGTCAGGGCGTTAATACCCCTACCTACCACTTTGTCAGAATCAACAGTGGTCATTTAGAGCTAAAGCAAATGTGTGGGTAGTAAGCCAATGCATTAATAAATTATGTATTCTACACGTTTTAAAGGCAAAGATCAAAGTGACCTTAACCTTTGGCTCACTTATCTGAAACTGCAACTGCATGACTTGAATACCCCTTCCAATTCATGCAACTTTGCCTGGGACTGTTTTATGATGAATATATGAGAACATAATTATATGTTTCAAATGTGAAAATGTCAAAAATAATACACTGTTGACAGGTATTATTAAGCATTTGAGCAGACAAGTTTACTGTCGTAAAAGCCCCTGTGATCTTGACCTATGACAAAGTCACCTAA